TAAGACCAGCCTGAGCTACAAAGTTAAGCTCAAGGCCAGTCTGCACTGCATAGTGAGACCCTGTCTAAAGTTGTTAGGGAAAAGAAACAAATCAACTCTAAAGGAAAGCCCATCAGAATCACAGCAGACTTCTTAGCACAAACTCTCAAGTCACGGAAAACTTGGAGTGAAGTACTCCACATTCTAAAGGAAAACAACTTTCAACCCAGATTGATGTATCCTGCAAGACTGTCTTTCAAAACTGATGGAAAAATAAGATACTTCCATCACAAAGAACATCTGAGGAAATTTATAACCAGGAAACATGCACTCCAAAATGTTCTGAAGGACATTCTAGAAAGAAATAATAAGGACTATATAGCTCCATGAACCTCAACAGAAAGAATCCACCAGGAAAGGCAAACAATTAGAGGGAAGAAAAAAAGGGGGCAGCCAACAGCAGGAAAATAACATGACAAGGATAAATCAATATAGAGCAGTTTTAACCATTAGTGTTAATAGTCTCAGTTCACCAGTCAAAACACACAGACTGGTAGAATGGATCAAGAAGCAAGATCTAACAATATGCTACATAGAAGAAACACATTTAATTCAAAAAGAAATTCACAGACTGAAAGTCAAAGGATGGAAAACAATACTTTATGCAACAGGAATTCAGAAAAAAGCAGGGGTAACTATTCTATTTGCAGACAAAGTGAATTTCAAGCCAGTACTGATTAAGAGAGATAAAAAAAGGTCACTACATCCTCATAAAGGGAACAATCCAAGAGGAAGAGACAACAATCATAAATATATATGCTACAAATACCGTGTACCCAGACATATAAAAGTTACTAAAGGACATGGAAAATCAAATAAGCCCTACTACAATTCTTGTGGAGACCTCAATACCCTATTATCACAAAAAGACAGATCAACCAGACAAAAAAATCAGTAATATAATATTAGAACTAAATCAAACTTTTATACAAATGGACTTAGATGTCTATAGAGTATTCCACCCCATAACATCAGAATACACAGTCTTCTCAGCTGCACATGGGACATTCTCCAAAATACACCATATACTGGCTCATAGAATATGCTTAAGTAAATATAAAGGAACGGAAATTATCCCATGCATACTATCAGACCAATGAAATTGGAAAGCCATGCCAAAGGAAACCGCAAGAACTTCATAAACACATGGAAATTAAATAGCACCTTCCTGAACAAGGTCACAGATGAAATTAAAGAAGAAATTAGACAGTTTTTATAGTTGAATAATAATGACAATACAACATACCAAAACTTTTGGGACACAATGAAAGCAGTCATAAGAGGGAAATTTATAGCAGTAAATCCCCATATCAGGAAAACAGAGCAAACACATGTAAACAACTTAATGTTGAACTTCAAACTTCTAGAAAAAGAAAAGAAAGCTAAACCAGTGTGACAAATAAAAAAGTGTATGTATATGTATATAAAAATAGTTCAGATAGTTATACTACTGATTTCTCTGAGTTTGCTAAAAGGAAAGATTTGACTAGTGTTGTTCGGACAACTGAAGACAGGTGTCTTGTGCTCTGGATGAATGATTTGGGGATGTCAATGCACAATGTACATACCTGACTGATGTACTTTTAAAATTATGTTGTTTTTTTCTTCTTTTTTTCTTTGTATCTATGAATAAAATGAACTTGGAAAAAAAAAACTACTAAATGAGGTATAAGTACTAATATTATTACCACTACTTTATAAACAATGAAGCTGAGCAGCTGGGCACAATGCCATACATCTGTAATCCCAGCAATTGGGACGCTGAGGCAGGAAGACTGCTATGCATTTGACACCAGCCTGGACTATTCAGAGACTCTGTCTCAAAAAACTAAAATAATAATAATAATAATAATGAAGATGAAGCACAGAAAGGTAATTTGTGACAAAGGTCACAGAGGTAATAAAGAGTTTTCACTAAAATCCAGACAAACACTTCTGGCAAAGTAATAGGCTATAGTTTAAACAACTTCTGTGGTCAAAAGAAACAAAACTCGTGACGTAGGTCTAACTTTTTGTTTTAACCAGCTGAACTATTCAATTACAATGGTGCTGCCCAACAGAAACACAACAGAAGCAAGAAATACAATTAAGTTTCCGTAGCAACTTTTTTCAAAAGAAAAATTAACTATTACATTTGGCAAAAAATGGATAATTAAAAACCTTTACTCGGGGCTGAGGATTTAGCTCAGTGGCATAAGTTCCTGCCTTGCAAGCACGCGGTCGTGAGTTCGATCCCTGGTACCGATAAAAATGAAATGGAAAATGAAAAAAAACTTTTACTTAATAGTTAAAATTATATAAAAATAATAAATTAATACTAGGTTCTCAATAAATACCAAAAGTATCAAAATTAATTCTGGATCATTTTAAAATACCTGAAACAAAACAATGTAGTGTTTCATTTAAGAAGCCCTAAAAGAGGAAGAGGAAGAAGAGGAAGAAAAATAAGCAGCAGTTGCAGCAGAAGCCCTGGAATCCAAAATTGAAATTAATAATTATTAATTCTTTAAATATATTTTATGGGCCAGGGATACGGTTCAGCTGCACAGCACTGCCTAGCAAGCGTGAGGTCATGAGTTTGATTCCTAGCACCAAAACACATGAATAATAAATCTTATGTTAGCATGCTATCTGCCGCTCAAGAACTTACTATTTGATTTAAAAAAATATGAACTCTGAATTACATAAATTAAAAAGACAGTGGTATGGACAAGGCAAAATTTATGACTGTGTTTCAAAGCAGCCTTGTTATGGGTTATGTCTAGATGTCCCCCCCAAAGCTTCGTAAAGTCCTAGGTGGGGCTTTTTCAGAGGAGACTGGATCTAGTGTGTGTGAGACACTGGGATTAATTCATGGTCAATGCTAGGGCAAAGGCACCAGGATTAAGGGGTGAGGGCTACCTGCCCAGAGTAGCCTGGACAAGGGTAGAAAGAGCTGATCATTCCTTGCTTCTTTTGCTACCTTCTGCCTGCCACAAACTGTTTCTCCTCTGATGATGCCTGTCTGCCACTGCAACCTGCCTTGGAGCCAGCCAATTATGGACTGAAATCTCCACAAACCATGAGCTACCGATCCCTAGCACCGATAAAAAAAGAAAAAAGACAAAAAAAAAAAACTAAAAGTAACTAAAACAAGCCCTCATAATATATGTAGTACCTTATAATTTAAAACACATACCTAAATTTTCACAATTTTGCAAATACTTAATATGGGTTATTATTATTTCTTTTCTTTTCTTTTTTTTTTTTTTTTTTTTTTTTTTGTCTTTTTTCCTTTTTATCAGTACTGGGGATCTAACTCATGACTGCCTGCTTGCAAAGGCAGGAGCTTATGCTGCTGAGCTAAATCCCCAGTCCCTCTTATTTTTCTTAAAGACAAAAAAAAAACCCTAAAGGCTAAGATTTCTCTTGCTTTTACTCACTCAAAACCTATATAGTTACATATCTTTTTAAAACATAAATCAGATAGATGGCTCACTCATTTGTTTAGAACCCCGCCACAGTTTCCTATTGTACTTGCAATAAAATTCAAACTCATTACAATGATCTTTAATATCCAATACAATCAAGTCCTACCTCATTCTCCTCCAGTTTCCCTTTACTCCTTCTAGTCACAGTGATCTTTTTTCAAATGCCAAATTCTTTACAGCCATACAGTCTTTGCATTGGTTATGCCCACCTAGAATGTTTTCTCAAGACTCCTTCTTGTCATTCAAGTCTCACTTTAAATGTAGCTCTTTGGAATAACCTTTTTTTTTTTTTTTTTAAATTGGTACCAGGGATTGAACTCATGCCCACACGCTTGCAAGTGCAGGCACTTATGCCGCTGAGCTAAATCTCCGGCCCCTGAGTAACCTTCTTCAACTATTCACTACCCTACTGTAGGCCACCAAGCACTCTATCACTTTACCATCACTTCATCCTCATTCATTTTCTTCATGGTATTTATCTAGTATTTTTCTACGTACCATTAATTTTCTTCTTGTTGCCCTGCTAGCACTCAAGAGTGCTACTACTTGAGACATTTCTAGTTAAACAGATGCACCTTGAAACCATACTCTCAAGTGAAATAAATCAGACACACATGTTTAAATACAGCATTGTTTCTCTGTGTGAGAACCCAAAAGTGTAAATAAGGACCAAAATGTATGATAGATACTGGGAAATGGAAAGGAAATGTTCAAATGGAAGGGGAACAAGGAAGGGGGAGAGGAAGAGGAAGGAAGGGACAAGAAAAGAAGGAAAAAATGAAAACAAAGCTTTATTAATAAGGACAGGAAGAGGAGTTGAAGGGAGGGAAGGGAAGTCAGTAAAAAAAGCAGCAAGACAGATCATATACAGGTACAAATCCCCTGTAATGAATGTGATCATTATGTATATCTAAAATGTACCAATAAAATTTTTTTTTGAAAAGTTGCTACCATGAAAGTAGGGTTATTGTCTATCTTATTTGCTACTGGGCCCCCAGGCTTAAAGCAGTGTTCCATAAATATTTACAGAACGAACAAACAAGTGAAGCAATTGAAATGGAATCAGAATCCAAGATTCCTAGGTTTTATTCCAGCAATCACAGTAATAGAAAATAATTGTTCACAATGAGGTTATTTTCTCATTACTAGGAAGTAAAGGTAGAGAAAATTAATTTGTGAACATGTTAGGTTACAGAAACTTCAAATCCAAAGTTAAACACTTAAAATTAATTCCATAACCAAGATTTGACAGTCATTTTCCCCCAGTAAGAAATAAGGCATGATAAAAATCACCAGACTGAGTTAGTGTCAGAACTGTCACATTTCGGAAATAAAAAAGTAAAGCAGGAGAAAGGACCATGAGAAAGGAGAAAATGTGACTGTCATCTGTCTGGATAAGACAGTACAAGAAATACACAAATAAAAGGCCAGAGAAACGAACATGGCATAGGACCAGTGGCCCAGCAGCAACATTTTAGAAAGTAAACTTACCGTTTTATTTCGTAATCGAATGATATCAGATACAGAACCGGCCCCACAGTACTCCATAACAATCCACAAGTCTGTGTTCTTAAAATAACTGCCATAATACTTGACTACATGAGGGCTGGGGAGAGATGTAATACAAATTAATGGAATGGCCTTCAAACATCTCTTAGTTCATTTGTTCAATATTTGAAAACCAATTTCTCGTCTCTGAAGAGCAAGTATTCCTAGGCAAGGATAAAATGAGCGACTATAAAATGGGATAGCTTAGATTAATAAATAATAGAAGTACAAAAAAATGTATGGGTAATTTACCTGATATTTGCAAGTCTATAACTAGAAAAGAATTAGATATTCAAAAGTAGCAACATAGATTGAACTAATAAAAGTGAACAATTACATGTCATTTAAATGTCTACCCAATGTCTACATTAGAAAATTTAAGAAATAATTATCATCATATAATGAACATCATGAATACACGAAAAATGTTTATAAAGTATTTAACAACATGTGAAGATACCCTACTTACCACAAAAAAGAAAGAAAAAGAAAAAAGGATTGGTTACAAAATAGGACGCATGGTAGTAAAACCCCAAAAAGAGGCATAGAAGAATACTAACATCAAGGAGTATTTAACAATGAGTCTCAAAAGGGAAAAGTGATTTTATTTCCTTCTCTTCATTTGCATTTTTCTAGCAAATCATATGTACTCTGTGATAAGAAATCATACTGTAAATCTAAAAACATGAAAAACTATGCAAGACGCAATTGGAATTTAGGTCTCAAGCTTGAAGATGCAAAATGAGAAATTTCAGACAGAACTAACTTAATCTGGTCAATACAATCAAGAAGAATGGTGGCTTAATCTAGTAGGTAATGAACAGTGAAAAAAAAAAAAAAAAAGGCAACAAAAAAGAAAAGAGGGAAAGAGAAGAGAACCAGCTATATTTGAACTCTGTAAAACTTAAAATTCCTAGGCAAATGTCCTGGCAGCCAGCCCCAGCTTTGCTCTTTGTTCAAGTTTTACAAAAAAGTACTAAACTGATCTGCCCCCAAAAACTTGGAAAATGCATACAGACACAAAAGCAAAACTTTTTCACCCCTCCTTCCAATTCCTTAAGTTGGCATCATCCTTAACTGTATGTTTCTTTCACATCTAAATAGTGCTGGGGAAGTCTCCTCCATCACAAGGACCAACTCATGTTGTCACAGAATATGAGAGCAAACCACGTGCTTTTCTGTGGTTGCCTTTTAACCCGACTTCCTGCTTACTACATTTGACAAATCTTAGTTCCTCAAAACTAAAATGGTTAGCTATTGTCAGCTCAAGTAACTTTTTAATATGAAGGAATAGTAATATATAAATTAAGTAGTCTCTTTTTACAGACAAATCTAGTATTCTAAAATTTCTAGAGCTAAAAAAACACTTAAATTATCTTACCTAAGCTGTCTCTACAGAAATGTTTTCTCAAAGACAGATCATTATCAAAAAAGAAAAAAATGCCAGTACTACCTTCTGCCTCTTCTTCCTACTTTCTAAAAGGACTTAGTGAAGGAGGAAAAAAGTGCACAAACAGAAACTATCAAAGTTTAGCTGCAGGACCAGAGATATGGCTCAGTGGCAAAGTGGCTGTTTAGCAAGTGTGAAGTCCTGAGTTCGATTTTCAGCACCCAGAAAGAAAACAAAACAAAGCTTAGCTACAAAAATATAAAACTTTTCATCATTTGTTTCTGAAAAGCACACAACCTATAATTTCACTGAACTTTCCTTTTGGCAAAATAAGTAAATGAATCTCCAGGTGTCAAATTCTAAATAAGCAAAACAAATCCAAACCTTTGTCCTCTCCAAAAGAAGCTCTTGTGCACTTTACCTGTCACACTGCTGCATTATAGAAATTTCTTTGATTATTTCCTGCAGATCTGATTCCACGGGAACTTGTTTAATAGCGACAATTTGACCAGTTTCCTTATGAATAGCTTTGTATACACTGCCATAGGACCTACAGTTGGGAAAAGGAGACCATTTAGAAAATCAAGGCAGGCCAAGAGATAAGAAGTGGTGCAATATAAAGAACTCACAGTTCTAATTTATATACCTGTGTACCTATGTCTCGAAGTACTGGCCCCAAGTATGTATGTACATATGCTTAGCTACATTTGCAAACTGAGATAAAGTATGTATTTTGGGGGGGAAATAGCATCTTAAAAACTTTATACCCAAACTTATGAACGAATCACTGTGAAATAATAATTATAGTAACTTCTGTGTATTGTATGCCTGATGTCTTCCAGAAAGTATGCATACTTTACCAAAATGAGAAAGAGACGATTATGCCATTTAGGAGTAAATATACAAATTTCAGAGGAGTTACATGATATTCTCAATGGCACATAAATGATAAATAGTGTTTGGTTCAGGAGTGGAACTCAGGTTGTCTGAAAACAAAGCTTATTTTCTCTCCACATCTACATCAAGGCACAATATAGAAGTATTTGTTTTCTTATATAAATACTTTTACTTTCTATTCCATTTTTCCTTTAAGAATGTATTATTAAAATTTTTTAAAAGTTTATGCATTCAACTTGGGGGTTATAAGATCATTACATCTAGAATCCCAACACCTAAGATTACATTCTATTACCACAAGACATTACTTACAGAAACACTATTAGCTTTGTTATGTCTTCATTTCCTCAAATGTAAAATAACAATACAAACTACTTTCCATGAGAGTTGTGTCAAGTGAGATAACATCATCCTACACAGCCTTCATCCTGAGATGCTCATCTTGAGATGAGTGAAATATGTATAAATTACCTTCCAGGCTTCCCCTAGCACACCTGTTTCTATATACTGTTTGGTGAAAAACAAATCAAAATAACAGTGTCACCTAATACTTCAAATTAGCAAAACATTCCAGCTTTCCAAAAGATCCTTGAGAACTATTCCAATGTCAAAATAAAATCCATGCATAGCACTTAAGAAAATAACATCAGAATTCCTGTATTTGCAAAACTGGTATAACAATGATTAAATACAGCATCAAATGCTTTTCTTGTCACAGAAAAGCAGCTACTGACCATGTATGGAATATCCAACCACTAACCATCTTCCTTGCTAATAATAACCTTGGTTTATTAGGATAACAATGTGTTTGGTCCTAAGAGATAAATCATAGTAGACCAAGACAGACACAGTATTCCTTGTCCCTTTTGTGAGTGACTGAACTAGTAAGCAAGTATATGACCTAGTTCTGGCCAATGGTATTTGAATTGAGTTTTACCAAAGAATTTGGGAATGATTTTCCTCTTCTTTAACAGACAAGCATATAAGATTCATTTCTGCCTCTCCTCTTATTTTGTTTGCTGTCATATGAGGAATAAACACTTAAAACTAATGAATCTTGAGACTATAAAAACTGCTAAACTATCAAATTATTATCAAGTCAATCAACCTCTCTTGGAATCTCTTACCTCAAAACTTTAGTTACTAAATGTCTTTATAGGTTAGCTACTATCACTTGAAGCCTGTTACTTCTACCCAAAGTGTTCCTCATACACTAGATCCTACATATCTGAAAATACCCTTATTCCACCTTCATTCCAAAATAACAGTTATAATAAACACAGAATTCCCGTTTGACAACAGCTTCCCCTCAGCACTCATTACAGTTTTGCAGGATCCACTGCTGCTGAGAAGCCTGCTTTCACCAGATTACCATGCGCCATCAGGAATATTATGCCTTCTCCTTAGTTTTCACTCTACATTTCTGCTTTACTTATGAGTTGATTTATCTGGTACTTCATAAGTGTCTTCAATCAGAGGGCTCATGTCTTTCAAGTATAAAAATTTCTTAGTATTTTTTCTTTATTTCTTCATCAATAGTACTTTAAGAACTATTGAAACTATGTTGGACCTCCTCAACTTATTATTTTTTTAAGTCCATTTTATTTCAAAGAAAAAAAAAGGAAACAAAATAAAAAAAAAAATTTCAAAACATATCAATCAGGGGGCAACAATGAACAATGTACATACATTGCACACTATCATCCCCAAATCACTCACCCAGAGCACAAGACAGCTGCATTCAATTGTCTGAACAGTATCAGCACAAATCTTTCTCTTCAACGAACTCAGACAAATCAGTAGTATAACTATCATACCTATTTTTTATATACATGTACATATGTTGTTTCTTTCAGCTTCTCACATTAGTGAGACAATACAATGTTTACATATGTGCATCTGATTTATTTCACTTAAGAATATGGACCTCCTCAATTTATGTCTTATTTTCAGTAACACTATTTCTGTCTCACATTCTATGATTAGTATAATTTGGAATCAATCTCATTTCTCTCAATTATCAAATTCTCTTCACCTTGTCCAGTTTGTTATTTATCCAATTATTTGGTTTTTAAAACTTTAGTTTATTATAGTCTGGTGTTCTTTCAAGGATATTATTTCCTCCTTTTAGATTTTTGAAAATTGCAAATGTTTTTCTTTTCAAGCAGACATACTGGCATGTGCCTGTAGTCCCAGATACTTGGCAGAATAAGGTACTTCTGCCCAGAAATTCCAGCCCAGCTTGGACAACACAGTGAGACTCCATCTTAAAAGAAAAGAAGAGGGAAGGAAGGGAGAGGGAGGAGAGGGAAGAGAGAGGGAAGAGGGGAAAGAAAGGGAGAAAGAGGGAAAGAAAGAGACTGAGATCTCTCGTCAGATTGCTCCATTATTTCTATATCCTTAAGTGTGAATTCTCCAACTTGTTAGAAATGATTATCTCAAAGCAGTGGATTTCTTTTAATGGATTTCCTTTCATTTCCAATTATTTTCTACTACACAACGCTCAATGAGATGGTTTCATGGTTCTCACAGTCCCCTTGCCTGAAGTATACAATTTAAACCAAATCATTGGGGGCCTTGCCACTCAAGAGCTCATACCTGAATGTAGTGTAGGCCCCGTTCTTATTGTTAGATCAGTATCTCTGCTTTTTCCCTAGGCTACAAGGCAAGTTTATTTCATGTCTAGTTCACATAAGGGGAACCCAGTCTCAGTGTAGGACTTCATGTCAGAAGCCCAACTACAATCTCCTGATCAGGATAAGGCATCCTTGTCTTTCTTATTATGATAGATTCTTTTTTACCCTTGGTGCTTAGCTGCCTGTACCATTATTATAAAGGATATATTTATTCAAATGTTAATAGAAATTAAATATTTAAGAGAACTGATATGCACTAAGGCTGGGTCTCATTAAGAGAACTGATATTCATTAAGGCTGGCCTTTACCTTGAGATATGTATGCCTCAGCATCCAGAGTCTCTGAGATTACAAGCATGTTCCAACACCCCTGGCTTATTCATTATTCTTATGTGTAAGAAATGGAAACGAGAAAGCCATGCACGCACTCACTCAGCAGTCATTACCACAGCAATCTCCAGACCCCCTTATGCTATCTTGTTAGCAAAGAGAACTCCAACAGTTCACATGAACAATTGAGATTTATGATTATACCTGCTATATTTATAGCAATCCGGTGAAGAGTTAGAGGACTTCGGCAATCATCCACTTACAGATGAGACCCTAACACTGATTTCCTACAACAAACCCAACATGACTGAATGAATTTTAACTGCCAGAGAAGACAGTGAAGTGTTTCACATAAGTCCCACAAAGCAATGATCAATATAGAAAAATGGAAATAACAGAACATCTGAGGCCAGTGTAGTCAAGTACAAGTCTTACTGTCAACAGCATCATTAGCAAGATACTTTTGTATTATCCGATAATAAAAACTTAAGTCAATGTGTAAAGCTTTTAAGTGTAAGAGAAAGAAAGAAGTGGTAGGCTCCACTTCCAAACACTTTCCATCATCTTGGTCTGGCACTCTAGCTGTACTGTGCCACAGATTCACAGTTTTCTCAAAATGCCATATGACTACAGCTTCCAGAATCCAATACAATTCTGTAGCAACAGCATACTTCACAAGACATAGAAAGTTCACAATTCATCCATTCTCCAGAAAAATTTACGGATGGCATGGTATTTTGTACTCAGAAAAGTAAACCACTTCTGCTTCAACACCTTGTTAGTTCAGTGAAGTTTCCTTAGGTTTGTTAAGTCTGCATGACACAAATACAAGTATATCTGTGATATATTTTTTTTTCTTTTTTGTTTTTTATCGGTACCAGGGATTGAACTCACGACTGCCTGCTTGCAAGGCAGGCGCTTATGCCGCTGAGCTAAATCCCCAGCCCCCTGTGATATATTTTTAAAAACCTATAAGGTGATAGCATGGGGGGAAAAAAAAGATCTGAAAAGGTTTGTTTTCTCCTTGATGACACCTTTATAGGGAAATTCTCAAGTTCCTTGCTGAAGATATCTATAGACCTAAACCATGATTTCCAAAATTGATCATTAGCTTAGGTTTTCCTCTCAGTGTACTCCTGACATACTGTCTATAGTTCTTTTCTGACAGCCCCCAAATCCAATTAATCTACAGTCACCAGTAAGAATGCCTAATATACTTTAAACAGCTAAGACTTAACTTTGATTTGACATGAACTCTGAAAAATTATTTCGTTGATATTAAAAAGCAGTTATGACTTACTGAACACTTACTATGTGACAAGCACTATACTAAATTCTTTACCCTTATTATTTCACTGCAATACTTGCCATGACCCTAATGAGGTAGATACTATTATTATCAAAAAAGGATTGTAAAGTTCCATAACAATAAGCTCGAGCTCATTTGTTTACTATACTAATAGTACAGCAAGGATTTTAACCCAGGTCATTGTGACCTCACAGTCTCCAGTTACTTCTACAATCTGCCTTTACTAAAAATGAAAAAAAAAAAAAAAAAAAAAAAAAACCAAGTCAGTTACATAAACAATTATGACCCCAGTCCTTATCTTATTCCAAGTATAACTTAAAAGCACTGTTACATTAAGGGCCATGGACTCGATGCCTTGAAGACAATACCAAGGATGAAAAGCTAAAACTTAAAATGGCAAGCGAGAGATGCAGAGGGACAGTCACTTCCCCATACCTTTAATGACACTAGTCAGCTGGCAGTCTTCAGAGTATTTTGGACTTGTTTTTTGGCAGCACAGCTGGTATCATCTTTTACTTGTCTTCTCTGCTTGATTTCTTGCTGGATTCCAACGAGTATTTTTCCAACTTACAAAATGTTGAAGACTAATGTTTTTTAAAAGGAGGTAATCCATGAAAAACTATTCTGTGTAATCCAGGATTGAGTTTAACGTTATTATAAATCTGTGTTTGGCATAACACTAGTCTCCAAAAAATGTAACAAGAGCTGTAATTGTTATAGTTTGAATGTAGAATATTCCCTCAAAGGTTCATGTTTGTGAAGGTTTAGTCCTAGCTGGTAGCACTCATTAGGAGGCAGTGGAAACTTAAGGAGACGGGACCTAGTTGAAGAGGCAGGCACTGGAGGTTTGCCTTTCAAGGGTATATTTCGTCTTTCCTCACTCTCTTTGCTTTGTGGCTAACATGAGATGAGCCCTGTCATCTACTGCATGTTACTGCCACCATACTATTCTGCCTGACCTCAGGCCTAAAGAAGTGGAGCCAGCCAAACATGGAGCAAAACCTCTGAAACCATGAGCCAAAATAAATCTTTCTTCCTTTGTTTTTCTCAGGTATTTTGTCACAGCAACAAAAAGCTTATTCACAGAATAGCTGAGGATTTTAAAAAGCACAGTCACTAGAACATGCTTTTAAATGTTAATATGTGTCAGGATATCTCTGAAACTAGCAGCATTCCTAAGAGATTAAAAATTCACTCGTACATACACATTTGCATATATATACACAAACCATTTCTGAAAGAGACATTAGTAACTGCTATAGTGGTGATTCTGGATGGCTGACAGATACAGGCACAGGGAAGATTTTTTTTTTTTTTTTTACTGTATATGTGCATTTTAATTTTTGAATTTTGAACCATATAAATTACGTACTCAAAACTTAACAACAATCACTTAAGAAAAGGTGCTCCTAACATTTTAATGTCCTGGTCATTACAGAAATAATAACTACACAAAATTAAATACTGAATCCTATTGTTTTTTACTGAAACAAGTTAGTACACACTAATCAGAAGCCATGAACAGCAAATGAAAGTACGTATCTAATTTAGTGCTGTTTACCTGATAAAATCATACAAGCCACAGATTCCACAAGAGGGAAAATAATAGATGTCCTTCATGATAAAAACTGGGTATCACTAAATCTCTCCATAATACTGATTAAGGTGAAGTGAGAAAAGACATCTCAAGCAGTAAATTTACCACCTACCCTCCCCTAGCCATGCCGATAGGCAACATTCCTCTCCTTAGGTTTAAGCAATATCATCGCCACAAAAAGATGAACATTCATTAGGTGATTGGCAGTAAAAAAACTGAGAGCCACTAGTGTACATGCATTTTCTCTTTACTCACCCTTCTCCAAGTTTCTCTAACACATCAAACACTTCTTCTGGTTGTTTGGTTAAACTATCTTCATCCAACTTTTTCAGCTGTCTGTGAATAAAGAAATGACACAAAAAGCATTTTACTTGCTAGCAATTAAATCATAAAACACATCATTTTACAATTAGCAGCCTAGGAATTTCTCTACAAAGTCTTCGTTAATAAACAACAATTCTCTAAGAGACTTTTATGGGGACCCTGAGGACTTGGTTTGAGGATCACCTGATGAAGAAAATCAGGACCAAAAGGTAAAGAGCTGCCAAGAGTCAGATTCTAACTCAGTATCTCAGAATTTTCTAACAAGAGAAGATGTTGTTTTAAATAGTCTTGAGAGGTCTCTGGGTCCCCATTATTAGAAAATTTAAATAGAAAGTGAATTATCATCCAGCTAAGTGCTATAGAGCAGACTTAAGCATTAGATAAATTCTTTAGAATCTATTTAAATTTTTAGATTACACAAAATAACATGATACACTTATCTCTTTAGAAAAGATATCACTTAATGTAAGACTGACTATACACTGAATCATGAATTAAACTGGTAGTCAAGGAAGACAAGAAGCTCTTTACTTTCTATTAGAAAGGTTTTGGTAATTTTGTCAAAACATGTAAATTCCATAGGTATCACAGAAACACAAAGTGGAATGTACACCTTTAGATATGAGCAAAAGTGAAAAAAAAATTGGTGGCTGGGAGTTTCAGTCTCTCACGAACAGCTGTGTACTTTAGTACCAAAAACCAAAGGTGCACGACTGCTCACAACTTCCAAGCAGTTCGGATTTTACTGACTATGCTAGACAATCATAATAAGCATAGGAGATTATAAATTAACATTTTAAAAAAATCTGAGACCTCTGAAAATTATTAATGCGCTTAAAAAGGAAAGAGCTTGCTAAGAAATATTTTTTTCTGTGTGTTTACGTGTGTGTGTGTATGTGTGTATCACCTACACAATGGCTTCCTGAAACTACAAAGGACAACAGAAAAAGAGAACTCCGGAAATGGTGATATATGGGAGTAGTCACACTGGAGATTTCTTGTAAAGAAAATGGGTTAAACTAACTAGACAATATCAATTCATACAAGACCTAAATTTAAACACACACACACACACACACACACACACACACACACACTTCCTAAAGAAAGTAGCTAAATCAGAAGACAAAAACAGAGAAAATCTGGCTACATAAAGCGTATCTACCAGTAAATACTGACTTACAAAGAATGGTATTACAAAATTTTATAAATATCAAGGGTTATATCCTAGAGAAATGGAGAACTGCTAAAGGTCAATAACCTAACCTGTCTTAACTTGAAGATCAACAAAACACAGTAACCACACTGACCTTTGAAAGAAAATCAAAAGAGCCTAAAAATTAAATCCCAATGACATCATAAAAACTCCCAGCTTAAAAGGTGCTGAAGTGAAACTCCTTAAACTTCAGAATCGAAATTTCTATGAACTCAAGAGTTAGAATAATCACCTCATATGCCAGGGCTTTCTGGTAAAGCCCTGAATTATAATTGTGTAAACAATGAACAATACCTCATTAAACAAGTATAATTAAAGTTATATAAACAGTTGATGTAAAGGAAGATCAAATGTGGTTTTTGATGTTTGACTTAGTGGCTAACAAAAAGCAAAACTTACTATTTGAGCTACTGCAGAGACCACAGAATAACAAAGGAAATTGCCACTGCCAAGAAAGAGACAGTTGCAAGACTCTGATAATACTTTAACAAACTATATGACTGTTCAGATGCTTCTTTAAAACAATGTTAAGTATTTTCTGTTTTTGAGCTGAGATTATTTAAAACAACTTGAACTAAAGGTTTATAATTCTGATGCCTGATAACCAAGAGGTGGTCAAGGAACATCTAATAGGGGCTGGGGATTTAGCTCAGCAGCATAAGCGCCTGTCTTGCAAGCGTGTGGTCGTGAGTTCGATCCCTGATACCGGTAAAAATACAAAAAAAAAAAAAAGAAACATCTAATAAATGGATCAAGAAATGTAAGGATGAAAATCATAACCTTCTTAGTCATCTTCATGAGCTAGCAAAATAAAACAATACTAAATAGAATAAAAAGTATTGTTAGCTTATAAACAAGATTTCTGTGGAAAAATCTTTTTGATAAGTGACTCATACCGATATTTCATACTTCATGAAACAAGTACTATTACCCAAAACAGCCCAACAATGACAATGCAGCTGTCTCGGCTGGGGTTTCCCCACGTTCTAGGGCAGTTTGACCACTTGTTCACAAGCAACAGGACTACCCAACACAAATTTAATGGAATACTGGTGGCTGTTCCTCTCCTAAGTCAGTGACCACATGGATGGCTAGAAAGCCAGGAGTGCATTGTAAGCCTTCCACCTGCCTAACTCACTTTTTACAATCACTAACTGCCACAGAAGACACCAATCTACCATCATGCACGTAGTCACAGAAATGTCAAATTTGTGAACACAAGGAGTATTTCCTGTATTGGGACTGTTGGAAACCCACGCCACCTAGTTTCTGAAAAGACTTTCTAAACACACACAGTGGTGTTTATGAAGTGGACAGTCAGAAGTCTAATTCTCAAACCTCTTTCTCACACCTCTGAACTCAAAAAGTTCATTTTATTCCTGCAGACATAGCTCTTCTTTCACACAGAATTTTCATACAGCGTGGAACAAATATGCAAGATATATTTTGATTTTTTTAAATGATAATGAACTGTGTCCCCACCACCACTCTACACCAATTCTAATTCCCAGTACCTCAGAATAGGTCAGTGTAGGGGCTGGGGATTTAGCTCAGCAGCATAAGTGCCTGCCTTGCAAGCAGGCAGTTGTGAGTTCGATCCCCGGTACCAATAAAAAAGAAAAAAACAACAAAAAAAAGAATAGGTCAGTGTATGGAGATGGAACTTTTAAAGAATTAAGGTTAACTGAGGTCATAAAAGTGGGCCCTAATCCAGTATGTCTGGTGTCCCTCCAAGAAGAGATGAAAACACAGACAGGTACAGAGGGAAGACCATGTGGGAGAAGATAGATATCTGTGAGCAAAACAGGTTTCAAAAGAAACAATCCTGCCATCACACTTGATTTCAGCCTTCCAGCCTTCCAGTCTCCAGAACCGTGAGAAAACAATTTTTCTGTTGTTTAAATCCACTCAGGTTGATAATGTTAGGGCACTCCTAACAAACCAATACAAATGACAATAAAACTCATCTGAGGCAAACCTTAGACGGTACATTAGTTTTAATAACAACAACACTGGTTCAAGAACTCAGTCCTGCAATACCTTCTCTTACCACTATTTTTTTTTTTTTTTTTTATTCAAAAAGTACAGGAAGCTGGGTGTGGTGACAGACACCAATGATTCTTTGCTACTTTGGAACTGAGGCAGGACCATAAATATCGGTCCATTCTCTGTAACTTATTGAGATCTGTCTTAAAATAAAAAAGAGCTGGGATGTAGCTCGGTGCTCCCTTGGCTCAATTTTTTTAAAAAAGTATAGAAATGAACATGTCAAAAAGCAAAAAATTTTACTCCTTTACCTAAGATTACACAACATGAGGCAAAGGAAGAAACAAAACTCAGATTCCCCATTCTTCTTTTCAACTAAACAAAGGCTTAAAAGAAAAGAAATCAAATAGAACAAACCTATTTCAGGAAAAAAAAAAATAGCCAGTCTACATTACTAATTGAATCATTATGATGCTGCATTAAATATCTACTAACATATACAATGACTGTAAAACAAGAGTGCTTCCATGGAGGCGTCAGAATGGAGCAGGAAGAGAATGGACTTTGGCCCAAACCATCTGGACATTAAAACCCCAACTCTGCCTCTTACGAGTTATGGGGCCTCCAGCAAATCAACAGCCTGTATGTGGCTCAGTTTTATCTTCTGTTAAACAAGGATGCAGAAATATCCATTTTATACAATGATGAGGTTCTAACGAGTCAATACGCTGAATCGCAGAGAACTATCATTTTTTACAGTTCGAAAACGGCCAATTATCAGCAATTTCATATGGTTTATAGGAGACATGGAAAGTACCTAGAACAGTGCCTGGCACCCCGTAAACATACAAATGTAATCACTGTTGCTATTACCACCTCAGCACACAATCAAGACCCAACAAGCTATTTGCCTTCTGCAATGTTTGTGCGCTTCCATCAACCCCCAAGAAGGTTACCCAGGCAATCAATCGCTTCCTTCACCTTTTAGCACCCTCGCATTCTGATACACTGAACACTTCCTACTTAAGTGCTCATTCTGTTGCAGGAAGTCAGAAGTTCTGTGAAACAGAAGTTCACTGAACTGCGCCTCAGAGAAATACGACTCTCTTCAGTCTCTACTCCGTTTTTCCCCTAGATGTGGCAGAATGGCATAAGAGCCAAGGGTTCCAAGGGAAATCAACACTACAATTACAACAAATTCAAAACTGCAGATTTTCTAGGATCAGTCACCTCCCTGTGATCTTGACCAAAAACAATTCAAGGTACCACTAGGAGCTGGAACTGTCACAAAACAGGAGAAGCCTGAGAAGGGCACACAGCCTTGCCAGGTTCATGTGTCTTAACTCTTCTAGAATTCAGGTTGCACATCCTAAAAATATCTTATTTCCTTATCTAACTCCCCAGGTAGGACTGTGAGAAACTAAGAAGGATGTAAAGAAAATTAGGAAAAGATGCCATCATCTGTGAGTGGGGATACGAACACCCTTTCAAACAATAACCTCCAGGAACCTCTCTCCACTGCTCGACCCTCGACCTTTCTTCGCATTTCAGCGTCAGACGCAAAGCTTTTTCGCGCAACGGATCTTTCCCGCTGCAACCCTCAACCTGGGACTTAGGGTCCCGAGAAAGTCCACCTGCTGTTTTCTCTGCTAGTTCTCACTCCATTCCCCTAGAATCCTAGCCTTCTCGCGGGTTCTTATCCTGCCTCAAAATTTGCCTCTCCATCCCTGAGTTCCTTCTGGGAGCGCCTTCCCCAGAGGGGGCCCTGACCGCAGCAGGTGTTTTCCCTAACTTGTCCCCGTGTTTCTCAGCCGAGTTCCCCACAGCGACTCTTCTCTCTATATTGCCGCACGTTTATCTCTCTCCCCCGGTGCTGCGTTCAGCCGGACCTCTACCGCCAGGCAGCTCCCTCACTCAGCAGGTGCCCCATCAACCTCTGACGCCTCGCCCCGCATGTCCCTCTGCTTCGCGGGTTCGCACACGGCTGTTCCCTCAGCCAGTTCGTGCCTTTCCCTCCTCTTAGCGAATGTTCCCTCACCGGCGCGGCGGGTTCCTCAGCTGCACCGTCTCCATAGCGCTGCCAGTAGTCGCCCAAATCCGCTCACTGCTCCATCCTCCCCCAAACCTCCCGAACCCGCCCCGCAGATCCTCCCACACTTCCGCTTTCCGCCCCTACCGGAAGGGGTGCGTGAGGGGGCGGAGCCTCGGAGGACGCAAGCTGGATCACTGGTACGGGCCACCAATCAAAAGGTGGTGAGAGGTGCAGACCGCGAATTTAGAAGGGGAGGAGGTTCCTTGTGTCGGAGTGCTATGCGGGCGAAGAGCATAGGCGGCGCTATTTGCTATAGTGTTAGCCCAAGACCGTGGAGACCCAGCCCATCTCTTCCTTGAGTTTCTCCCTTTTCTCCGACCGAGATACTGAGACTTGTAGCGAAGCGAACTTGTTGATTCTTGAAAATCTAAGTTCTGCACAATAGGAGAAGTACTACTCCAAGTACGCTTGAAGTATTTGAGGTTTTCTATTGCTTATCTCGTTGAACTCTAGTCTCAACAGTGCACAACAGCAAACATGTCTCCTTTGTCTCTTTCTTAGAATTTTTCCCACGATGAACTGAAATTATGATAGACCTCTTTTTTCACAGGATATTCATCCCAGTACTGTCCAGCAAGAATTCTTTCAGTGATGAAAATATTCTACATATCCACAATTTAAAATGGTAGCCACTAATATACATGTCATTTAAGTTATTTAAATTTAACAAGCCTCAGCTAATCATGACGATTTGATATATTCACTGTATACATTTTGGATGTCCATTTTATTATTCATCAGCTGACGGACATTTGGATTGTGTCAAGTTTTTAGCAAGACACAACTTTTGTAGTACCTTGAAGTGAACTTTGCACTGAACTGCCTTTGCAACCCTATTTTCTTTTTCTTTCTTTCAATTTTGGGACAGGGTCTAAAGTCCAGGCTGCCCTTGAACTTGTGATCCTCCTGCCTCAGCCTCCCAGAGTGCTGAGATCACATGCATGAGCCACGACATTCAACAAGGAGGTATTTTTGACTTTAAAAATGTTCAACTCTCGCAGAGCTTACCATCTCATCGAGGCCACATGTACTACATATTTGGCTCTATTGGATAAGAAATAGGTATAATGGTTACAGTGTCTTTAACGGGCCACTAGCAGAACAGAAAATTCTGTTCTCTTTTTTTTGTCTTTTTCATCGGTACCGGGGATCGAACTCACGACTGCCTGCTTTTAAGGCAGGCACTTACGCCACTGAGCTAAACCCCAAACCCCGAGAATTCTCAGTTCTAGAGCCCAAGATCAAGATAGCAGTAGATGCAGGGGTTTTTTGTTTTGTTTTTTGGTGGTACCGGGGATCAAACTCGGAGCACACTTGCAAGGCAGGCACTTAGGCCGCCGAGCTAAATCCCCAGCCCAGTAGATGCAGTTTTTGATGAGGTCCCCTTTCTGGGTTCATAGATAGCATTTTCTTCATCACATAGTAGAAGCAACTAGGAGTCTCTTTTATCATGACCTCCATGACCTAATTACCTCCCAAAGGGCACGCCTGTAATACCATTACCTTGAGGGTTAGGATTGCAACATACAACTTTTGTCAGGACACAAACACTCATCATCTTGGGTGCCAGACTCTGGTAGGTCTTGGACAGACAAAGATAGAGATGGTCTACCACTGCCTGAAAGACAGCAGTCTTGGAGGCAAACATGAATTGACAGAGTGGTAAATGATAACTTAGGAATAAATCTAGAGATCAATAGGGAGGAGAGGTGCGATCAGAAAATCTTTTCTGAGGAGATATTTGAGTTGCATATTGTAAGATGATTCAGGATTAAGTAGAAGAAAGGGTTTGGGAAGTATTTCAGAAATGGATAACAGCAAAGGCTAGAAGGCAAAACAAAGAACAGCTGTACAGATAACAAAAAGATTATTTTAATGAAGTAATTTGGTGGGACAGAGAAAGTGACAAAGCAGCTGGAGATAAACTGAAGTCAACTTCAATTAAAGTTCTTTATCAGTCTATCTACAAGTTTATTTGCTAAATCGATATCCACAATCCAGAAGGGGCAAGGTCTTTTTTAGCCTCTGGGCCTTTGCACTTTCTGTTCTTCAATCCGGGAAAACATTCCCTAAATCTTTGTAACTCTCAGCCCTATTTGTTACCTATCTCCCCACAGAGACTTTTCCTAGCTTCCTCATTTTTTTATACTTTTGTTTTTCTTTTTATCGGTACCAGGGATCAAACTAATGACCACCTGCTTACAAATCAGGTGTTTATGCCGCTGAGCTAAATCCCCAGGCCCCTAACTTCCTCATTTAAAATACCACTGTAGAAAAAAAAGAAAAATAAATAGCGCCCACATGGTCACTTTCTATGGCATCGCCCTGTTTTTGTTTTCCTTGGAGCACATTATAAAATAAGCATTTTCACTTGCTCCTGATTTCATTGCCTATCTACTCCAGGTAGGAAAGAAACCTGCAGAAAGAAACTCGGTCTCGGTCACAGCTTCACAGCATAGAGTTAACGCACTGCTAGTAACCAAGGTAACTCCAGTTACTTGGCGCGCCGAGGGGAGCTAAAATTCCAAACTGAGCAGGCGCGAAGTGAGGACCCCTATCGGCTTTCGGCTCAGGGAGGCTCCGCCCCCTCGCGGCCGTCTTAGCTGCGGGGTTGAAGTACTCGAGCCAGCGCTTCCGCCCGGACTCTTTTGGCTGCACTTGTAGGAGAACGAGACGCTCCTCGTTTGCCGATCCGGCTGGGATGGCTCCCAAACTCCCAGACTCTGTGGAGGGACTCCGCGCTGCTGGCAACCAGAGCTTCCGCAGCGGCCAGTACGCCGAGGCTTCCGCGCTCTACGGCCGCGCCCTGCGGCTGCTGCAGGCGCGAGGTACGAACCCCCTCCTGTTCTCCAGGCCTGTTTTCGCCCCCACGCACCCCAGCACCTCTCTCGTACTGTCCCCTGCAGACCTCTGTCCGCAGCTCCCGGACCTCAGCTGGCTTCCTGCCGCTCCCTGACTTTGGCATCCTTCGAGAAACTTCTGGGCCCCTTCTTCCCGTTTGCTTTCTTAAACTGACTTCTTGACTGGAATTCTCAGTGATTCAAGCTTCATCCTGCTCCTGAGGATGTAGCTGAGCCCTCCTTACCCACAATGCTTTGTTTTTCAATTAAATTAACATCAGGGGAGCACCTGTTATATTCCTGTTCTATTACAAAACGAAGAAAGGCTGTGGATCTTAAGTTAGTAAATAGGTAAACAAGATTTCTAGATAATTCGATCTCATAGAAAGACAAATATGATGATGTGATAGAGTTGCCTGAGCAGGCGGTGAGAGGCCAAGGGCAGCTCCCCCAAAAAAGGGCTATTATTTGAGGTGATGATGACTGAGTGATGAAACAGCTACCAGCCCACAAAAGATTTTGGTGCTGAGCTTGCCAGGCCGAGAGACTGGCATTAAAAAATCCTCATGCCAAACATGGAAGCGCGCACTGAAGAGGCTGAGGCAGGAGGATCCGTGTGAGACCAGCCTAAACTACATAGCAAGACCCTGTCTCCCAGAAAAACAAGAAAAACTAGACAAAATAAACGGTGGTATGTTCAGGAGTCAAAGCACAGTAGGCGGGTAGAGGTAATAGTAAGACATGAGGTAGGCATAAGCTTATTGTGTAGCTGTTTTAAGCTCTCCTAAGGAGTCTAGGTTTTATTCCCTGATTAAGAGCTACCTGAGAGGAATAAACAGAGGAGTAGCATATTCTTGTCAGTTCGTTTAGCGTCCACTCACTTAACCAGCCACAAACTTTTCCCCAAATTCTTGCCTCATCCAGTCAGGCATGATGGTGCTCACCTGTAGTCTCAGCACTCTGAAGGCTGAGGCAGGAAGATGGCCATGAGTTCAAGGCCATCCTAGGAAACATAGTGCAACCTGAACTACATAGCAAGACTGTATGTTAACAAAACAAGCATATATCATCTGGAAGTCGCTATGATTAAAACTTTGTCTTTTGAGAAGAGCCCTGAATCTCATTTTCTGTAAATTGTAATATCTGTTTCCCTTTGACTTTTCTCCTCTTTCTCATTTTCATCCCTGATACTGGAGGTTGAATGCAGGACCTTCGTAGTGAGCTGTAACCACACACACACACATCTCACTAAATTGCCTAGGCTGGGCTTGAATTTGTGATCCTCCTGTGTCAGTTTATCTAGAGTGCTGGGATTATAGGTATGCACCACCGTAACCAACTCTTCTTTCCTAATTTCTTGTCTAGGGTTTGTTGAGTGCTGGACACTATAGACATCATCTTTGTTAATCATGATCCTATGAATAAGACACTAGATGAGGAATCTAGAAAAATTAAATTGCCTACCTCAAGGTTACACAATGAAGACATCTCAGAGCTAGGGTTTGAATATGTATCTGATTGCGAAGTACAATTTTTAACCATTTAGTTGGACTTAACCCCAAATTCACAAATTCAGGCTTTTTTCCTTAATTTTTTAGCAGTTACAAAGTCCCTTTCCCTCCTCCCACCAAAACTCTTTAAGACTACCTACCTCCTCATGTTAGTCTTATTTGATGAAGATGCTGGAAAATATGAGATGTTGATGTTTCTGCCTTTTTCTTTGATCCCACTCCAGCTGGCCTGGGAAAGTTATGCTTTTGTGTAGGTTTATGCTGAGTCCCTAGAAGAGCTATTTACGTTTACCAAAGACCAGAGTTTGGTTCTGATCCTGCTGATTTTCTAGGTAACTTGTAGGATGATATCTTCATTTCTCTGATCATTTTTCTTGATCCTGAAAGGAGCACAGGGAATATTCTAACACAGTGAACCCTGGCAAGCAGGTCTGTGAAGTGATATTTTCATGTAGTAAGAGAGCACACAGCATCAGAGGGCTTGGGTGACTTGTACAGGATCACAGGCTGGATTGTAGATTCTGATGCCCTTTGCAACACCTTCCTGCAGTTTCTAAGCAGCCATGCTCGGGTGACCTAGGATGGAATACCTGTTCTTACTACTTGTTTCTTAAGGGCAACAATGTACTTTGGGTATCTCTACTCTAAGAGCCTGGCAAAATTCAAGGGGAAAAAAGAGCTATTAATTTATTATGTTTGTTATTGTTGGTATTGAATGAAAGGTATCAGATGTCAACATGGTATCATGATACTGAATGAAAAAGTAAGGATAGGCAATATGATGCCACTAAGGAAAGAAAAGTTTAGTAGATAATGATATTGTATCTTGCCTGTAACTATATACATAATAAAAACAGGCAGTGCTTGAGAATTTACATACAGCTTTAGGATTATGGTGACTTCTGGGGGTCTGTTGAGAGTCCATAGGGTAAAGAACAAAAATGAAGCCAGGGATTTAACTCAGCAGCATAAATGACTGCCTGGCAAGCAAGAGATCGTGAGTTAGATCCTTGGTACAAAAAAAAAAAAAAAATCAAAAATTAAGAGGTGTGGGCTAGGACCTAGCTCAATGGCATAAGCGCCTTCCTGGCAAGCACAAAGATTCCTGGTACAAAAAAAAAGGCTGGAAATAAATATACTTATGTCAGATATAGTGGAAGATACTGATTGTTACCTGGTTTTCTATATGTTTCTACTCTGTTAGTACATGTTTGTAGTACATGATGATTACATTCATTGCAGGGAGTAAATACATGTATATAATATATCTTAGTTCTTTTTATTTCTCTTCTCTCTTTTCTCCTTCCCGTCTCAGTGTATGTTTCAACTTCTAAAAATCTTGTTTTCAGTCCTTCTGAGTATATGGCTATGAGTACAGTTTCTAGATCAACACCTATTTTTAATGTTTTGTTAGTATTACTTTAATTGATCCCCGATACCGATAAAAAGGAAAAAGACAAAAAAAAAAAAGATGAAAATCTGGTGCACACCTATAAACTGAGCGCTCAAGAGGCTAAGACAGGAGGATCAAGAGTCAAGACCAGTCATCTAAAAAGATCCTATTTCAGAGGAAAAAAAAAGTAAAGAAAATCACTGTGGGAGTGGAGAATTTAGCTCAGTGACAAAGTACCTGCCTGGCAAGTGTGAGATCCCGAGTTTGATTCCTGGTACCCTGCCCTCCCCCCACACAAAAAAAAGAAAAAACCCACTGTGGCCACAGTGAGCAAGTTGACCTTCTTTGATTCCTGAAGGTAAGGATTGTCTTTGGAAAAGTGACCAATAATTCTCCACCCTGTTGGGTACCTTGAATCTGGCTCTTCAGCATCCTGGCAGACATAGCTTAGTTTCCACTTCCCTGATAAAGCCCTCTCTGACCAGTCAGTCCATTTTTCAGAGCTTGAATCATACTGTCTTTATCCTTATCGGATTTATATGCTTTCTGTAATGAAATTAACATATATCCAAGTAGTTAAGGGTGAAATTTTATTTATTTATTTTTGGCCATACAGAGATTGAACACAGGGCCACGTTCCCAGGTCATCCCCTACCCACCCATCCTTTTCTTTTGAGACAGGATCTTGCTAGGTCACCAAATTGCCCAAGCTGGATTCAAACTTGCAGTCTTGTTACCTCAGCTTCCCAAAGTACTGGGACTACAAGTGTGTACCACCACACCCAGTTCAGCATAGGTTTTTTGATACACAGAAGCCAGGTGTTTCATGCATAACTTTTGCCTGGTATCATGTCTGGTACTAGATGTGTGAATGAGGAAATAACTTGGTTCTATGTAAATGGCAGAAAGCTAAGTGTCACCTCTCTCATGTAAGAATGGGTATACAAGGCTAAGTTGCAATCCTCTCTGCAGCCTTTCCCCAAGGCCGAGAGAGCTCCTGGTATAAAGGGCATCCCCTTATCCTGGAACTTCCATTTCCTAAACTGATGGTCTCAGTCTTTCTGCCTCCACCTGAACAGGTTCTTCAGACCCTGAAGAAGAAAGCATTCTCTACTCCAACAGAGCAGCCTGCCACCTAAAGGATGGAAACTGCACAGACTGCATCAAAGACTGCACTTCGTAAGTGCCCATGGCAACATTGGGATACCTAAGGGTCTTCCAGGAATAGGGGTTTTGTCTAGTGTATTTCTTCTTTGGATGGATTTGACCAGTTATATCTGGGCAGGTATTAGGAAGTGTCAGTAAGTGCTATCAGGCCACTAAGAATGAGAGGCTCTTGTTGGTCCTTGTGGCCCTAGACTTCTTGTGTCTGACTTTTCAGCTCTACTGCTGCTAGAAAAGAATTAGGGCAGTTAAAGACATATTTTCCAGACTTCCTAAGACTTAGGACCTTAGGTGAGGTTAAGAAAGTTTATTATAGTAAAATACACATTTATATTAATCCACCCTCTTAAATACTCCCCCTTTCTTCAGCTACATTATTCCTGTCCCCATTGCTCTTGCTACTTTCTTTTTTGTTTTTTGAGACAGGGTCTTAATATATAGTTCTTGCTGCCCTTGAACTCACTGTGTAGCCCTGGCTGGCCTGGAACTCACAGTTACTGTACTGCCTCAGCGTCCCAACTGCTGGGATTACAGGCATATACCATCACACACGGCTTTGCAACTTTCTGAAGCAATTCTGAAATTCCTCTTTTGTGTGTCTTTATGAACTTGATAAAAAATACAGTGAAGCCCACTGAGTGCCATTCAATGGAAAAGCAGGCTCATGGAAACAGTATGGTGTGTTCTCACCTACCCTGTTCACCAGATCTGGCACCATGTGACTTTTGACTGTTCCTCAAAGCCAAGAAAGGTAAATGTTTTAATCGATTCAGGACATCAAGGTAGGCACAACAGAGTAACAAAAGACGTTCACAAAGAAGACTTCCAGAACGGCTTCAGAAAGTGGCCAAGAGGATGGGATAACTGTGGTTGAAGCAAGATGAATTAATCATAAAAGTGTCTTTTACTGTAAACAGTTAAAAATAAAACATTTATTTTTAAAATAAATAAAAATAAAATATTCACTGTATATTTTTATCATATTATGTAGATTTATAGACCCTTGACTGACTTACCCATTTCTTGGGTAAGATGAATGAAAGGAAAAAAAGAGACACACATGTTAATAGATGGTCTCTAAAAAAGGAGGAAATGGATATCCATCGGGGACAAGTTATAGAGGACATTGAACAATTTTTCATATGTCTTATACTGCCTTATTTATCATCACTAAACTAGCACACATTCTCTCACTGAATTCTCAAGCTTGATAGCTGTGATGTTGCCTTAGATTCATGCCCTGGTGGTAGGAGAGGAGTGGGAAGGGGAGCATGCTCATGGAGTATGGGTAGGTATCTTTGAGTGTTCACAGTCACTCTTTGGAATAAGTTTACCTTTTTTTTTTTTTTTTTTTTTTTTTTTGGTTCTGGGAATCAGGTGCAGGGGCCTTGCATTTGTCAGGCAGATGCTGTGCCTCTGAGCTACATCCCCATCTTCCCAGGCCAGAACAGAGTTCTCAAAGATTGGACTGGGTCAAATGGTTAACACAGAGGTAGAACCTAAAAACCACCTGTCATGGTTTATGTCGGTGACACCCAGGCTTCATGTACTTACATTGTACATTTGTGATTGGTTCACTTGGATTGATGGTGTCAGTGCTACACCCACCTAGGGGTGGAGCCAGCATACAATGTAATGGGTAAAAAAAATGGAGTGTTTCTTGCTCTCTTGCTGTTTGCAGCTGCCATAAACTGTGGCCCCGCCATGCCACCCTGCCTGGAGCCACCTAAATATAGACTAAAACTTCCAAAAACTATAAAAAATAAGCCTTTCCTTTCCCAACTTTGAGCATCAGGTATTTTGTCTCAGCGACAAATAAAAAATAACTAAGAACCAGCCTAGCTGACTCCAAATCTTGTTTGTTAATCCCACTGGATCACAGTGTAAAAACATGGTAACATGCAAACTATGAGGCTCTTGTTTGTTATTCTGCGGTGTGTGTTTGTTGTTTGATACAGGGTCATGCTATGTAGTTTGGACTGACCTTGAGCTTATGATATAGCCCAGTTGGTCTTGAACCTGCCTCAGCCTGCAGTGCAGTGCACATTTGGCTTATCATTTTGGAGGGGATTGAAGCTATTACACTAATACATATGCACACAAATTTCACAATATTTGTGCTTCTTTGCCCTCTTTCCCTCCTCACTTCAATCTAAGTTGAAAAGCCCTATTCTAAAGTTTGGCATTTTTAGTAATATTTCTTGGCCAAAAATTACCTCCAATATATTAAGTACTGACTCTACCTAGAAAAAACTGCAAGGGAGTCCTGGTGGCCCAGTTGGTAGATTACATTTTTGTCTTCTGTTCTAGAGCACTGACCCTGGTTCCTTTCAGCATGAAGCCCCTACTGCGGCGAGCTTCTGCCTTTGAGGCTCTGGAGAGGTACCCTCAGGCATATGTTGACTATAAGACTGTGCTGCAAATTGACAGTAGTGTCATGGCAGCCCTGGAAGGCGTCAACAGGTGAGCCCAGTGTACTACAGAACTTCTCTGTGGAAACCTGTCTTTGCATGGATTTGATCCATTGTATTAGTTGTGTTATGGGAAGAACCTCTTTGGCTAGTCATAGAAAAATCCTAATGCACATGTAGGAAAAAATGTAGAAGACTGTTACATTTCTGTCTTGCTTTGTTTTGGTACTGGGGATCGAACTCACAGCCTTGTGCTTGCCAGGCAGGAACTTGTGCCACTGAGCTAAATCTCTAGACCCATATTTCTTAAGCATTTAAAAGGAGTAAAAATTACTGAGATTGATTTTTACCTAGATATATGAATTCATTTACACAGTAGTATTTAGCTCTTTTTAACATACTGTGCCATGTTCAGTTGGGAATACAAAATTTAAAACAGATTTAGACCTGACCTTTTTTTTTATTTTTTAAAGAGACAGGAACTCACTACACAGTTCAGGCCAGCCTTGAGCTCCTTTTGTAGCTCAGGCTGGTCTTGAATTCACAAAGATGCTCCTGCCTCAGCCTCCCAAGTACTGGGATTTAGACCAGATTCTTATGTAAATGTTTAACTAGAGTTGGAAGATTAAGGCACATGCATAACCAGCTAGGACACAGCCTTTAAGAATGTTGTCAGGATGTTGTATTGTGACCCTTCCATGAGATCCCTCAGGTAGAATATCTTTTGGGCGTGGGACTCATGATTATTTTTTATTTCAGGTTTCCCCTCATTGCATGAGCTGCTAGAAGGCCAAAGACCCATATAATAACAAATCTTTGTCTCCATAATATGTAATTTCTTACTTTTAACAACACCCTGTTTTCTTTTTGCTTCTTTTTAATTTCTATCATTTAACAAAATCTACCACTTATGTGCTAAATTTTATGCAAGGACTTACTGAGGCTGATTACTGAGACAAACCAGTGTCTGCTCTCATAGAGCTCCTGGTCTCCGGGGAAATCCAGAGAACAGAATAATAAGCAGCCTCAGTACAGTGTGTTAAGCGATGTGATAGAAGGCAGCACAGGTGCTCTAGGACAGAAAGTCACCCAACCAGCCAGAAAGATGAGAAAATCCTGAGAGGACTTCTCAGGGGAGGTGAGATCTGGGGCAGGTGAGTAACAAGGAGAAAAGGCAGCAGCAGGTGCAAAAAGGGTGAGGAGCATGATGCATTAAGAGATTACATAGCGCATGGTTCTCCAAGGAGGGAACTAAGCATGGGCCTGAGTATTGAGGCTAGGTTACACAGGGTCTGATCTTTGGGGATTTGGACTGAAACCAGAGCAAATGAGACCTCAATAAAAGGGCTTTATCTTCTAGTCCTGAAGAGGCTGAAGCAGGAGGATTGCTGCAGGTTCAAGGCCAGTCGACTATGTTACAGAGGCTAAGGGAGCAAAGAATATTTAAGTGCAAACAGTCAGTAGAGAAAGGGTCTAGTTATAGGAGAGGTCTGCCCGGGTAAGGTCCCTGAGAGAGGAAATGGGATGCAGAGCCTCGGTGGCCCTTATGTCTCCTCTGCTGTGACAATAGAGAAATAGGAAGGATTTAGTACCCAGGCAGGTAGATTTATATTTCAGGGATAAGGAAGTTTGTTTTGAAAATAGAGAAGGATTGGGGAACTTTGAGACAACAGAGCTAACCAGAAAAATAGCTTTGGGGGCCTAATTAGAGGCCATGTATTTGTAGTAATAACGATGTGTGTAATTTGCATTCCTATAACATGAGAACATGGCTGTAGAAGCAAATAAAGTATATAGTTGGCTTTGTTCACTCATTCAGCACATTGTTATTTGGGCTAGGTAGGTCCCAAATGACAGGCTTGGTGCTAGAGATCAATTAACAAAATGCACATGATCGCAGAGCACCATGTTAGGCTGACAGCTAAAGCATACGTAGGAGTTAACTGGGTCTAGAAGCTTGGAAAAGAAAGTAGAAAACTGTTTTCCAGATAGAGAAATATGAACATGAGGATCTGGGGGGAAAGTGGAATGAAATAAAAATGAAGTAGAAAAAGGGGTCTGGACCTCATGTGTTAGCCTAGAAAAGTGGAAACCACGAAGAGATTTTAACATTTGAAAACGACTTAAACCTGGCATTTTAAAAAGAAATGTAGTCAGATGCAGTGGCACACACTGGTAACCCCAATACTCTGGAGGCTGAGGCAGGAGAATCAAAAGCTTGTGTCCTGCCTGGTGATATAGGTTACCTTGAAGACTGAGTTCATAGCCACTCCCCAAAAAAGAAACTGAATATTTATCAAACATTCAGTGCTTGCATGACTTTGTGCTAGATTTATTGAGAAAATGTCAAACATTGAAAACACCAGATCTCTTGGAGAATGCATAGTCTTCTGAGGGCAGATCAGCACCTTACACAGTTCTCATAGTGTGACCAGGCTGCAAGGAAGGAGCGCTGTGGTGGCTGATCCAGATCACATGCATGGGGGCAGACATGTGCTCTCCGATGCAGCATGTTATAGGCTATATACAGGCTATATATACCACGGGAAGGGTGATAGTGGAGTCTTTGAAAAGGGTAAACCTCCCTGCGATCCTCCTTTCCCTTCCAGAATGACGAGAGCTCTCATGGACTCACTTGGGCCTGAATGGCGACTGAAGCTGCCTGCTATCCCTGTCGTGCCTGTGTCAGTCCAGAAGAAGTGGAATGCTTTGCCTTCAGAGAACCACAGAGAGACAGCTAAAAGCAAATCCAAAGAAACTACAGCTACAAAGAACAGAGGTCTGTGACTCCCTGCCCAGAGTCTTCCAATGCTTTCGAGAGGTCCTGTAAAAATTGGCCTCATTTAGCTGAGCTATAATTTTATAAGTGAAATTTTTTAACATGATGACAATTTTCAACTTTCTAAAGATTGTTTCCTCAGCTATCCAGTGAGGTAAGGATAAAACCTACCTCATAGCTATAAGAATTAAACTATAAAGTATATCAAACTCCTGCCCGATGTACAGGTATGTGGTATTAGTTCCCATTCTTTTGGCAGCATTTTGAATGTATCACTTAGAATGTTTTTGGTTTCAAGAACCAAAAAGTTCAACATGATAAAGTGGTGAGGGGAGTTTATTGGTTCAGATAAGTGAAAAACTGAGAGAGAGTTCAGGCAAGGTGTGCCCCTCAGTTCCCCGTTTACCAGACTGGCTCTTGTTTCTGTACTTCTCCCCTCTTTCCCTGGTTGTGTGTCAGTTTTGTCTTCAGGCAGACTCATAATGGTAAAAGAGCTGTAGTTGTTCCTGTCCTATAGCCATGGTAATGATCCAGAGGAAGGAAGAGAGAAAATATTTTCTCCCTCCCTTCACAAAAATTATAGCTCATAAATAGCCCTGTACTTCTTAATTTTTTATTTAGACACAGTCCACTAAGTGCCCAACTGAGGCTTGAACTTGCAATCCTTCTGCCTCTCCCTGCCAGAGTGTGAGGATTACAAGCATGTCACACCACACTCAGCCTTGGGCCATCTGCCCCACTTTCATAACTAGAAAGTAATGCTTTCTGATGAACTCATGCCCTGGGTGCATCACTGAAGATAAGTAAAAGGTTGAAGCCGGGCAGCAGGAGACTGTCCCTGGGAAACTATTAGAATGTGCCAGGGGAATTGTCCCAGCCTAGCAAGCTCTGAGGATTGAGTAACAAGAGGTACAGAAAGGAGCAGGGCTGGAATGCTGTCGTTTGTAAGTAACTCTTAGGTAATGGAGGAGGGCAGAAGTTACTCTTTCCAGGGGTACCCCTACCTGGCCATGGGTAGCTCTTGCTCTGGTTTGTGGGAGCCTGGTAAGTACTCCCTATCCTTCCCTGGAATGAAAATGTGGGGTGCTAATGAACTAGAGGGCTTCACAGTACCTACCATTTGTTCTTTTGGAGGCCCTAAGCCATATGTGTTTCAGTGAGACACAGAAGACAGGAATTCTTGGCCTCCAGGAAGCTTTTACTCTAATGAAGAAATGAGACATGGAAACAGAACACTTTAGAATATGAGGAGGAATGTATGCCATAGTCTTTATTGTTCGGAAAATTCAGATTACAAGTGGACTTAAGTATATTTGGGGGAGTCAGGGAGGGTTCACAGGAGATAGTAATGGAGGTGATGCCCTGGACTAGACCTTGATGGTGAGTTCAGGGGCAGAATTCTTGACAGAGACATGTTGGGAGCTGGGGGACGAAAGGACACAGGTAAACAGTGGGAGTAAACGTGAGTGCAGTGAGTTGTGGGTCACGGAGCCAAGTGAAGCTGGAGCTGTGCATTCAATGCAGCCCACTGTTGTGCTTCTCACGCTCATGGGCACAAAGAGACATATTTATAATAGCAAAAACAGGTATATGCATCGACACAGATGAATCTCAGCAATAGAATGAGGGGGGGAAGAAAAGTCATAAAAGAATACTAGACTTATTTACTCTACATGAAATTTTAAAAAAAGGACAACAGTCAGACTTAGTGGCACACACCTCTAGTCCCAGCACTCATGAGGCGGAGACAGGCTTGCTGTGAGTTTGAGGCCAGCCTGGCTACATAGTTCAAGGCTAGTCTGAACTACATAGCAAGACCCTGTCTCAAAAACCAAAAACTATTTAAAAATTGCTGGGTGTGGTGGTGAATGCCTATAATCCTAGTACTCAGGAAGCTGAGACAGGAGGATTGCCAGGAGTTTGAGGCCAACCTGGGCTCCATAGTAAGTTCAAGAACAGCCTGAACATAGTAAGACCCTGTCTCCAAAAAGTAAAAGAAAATAAAAAAAGGTAGAAGATGATTTATAGGTACTATTCTACATAGTTACATATTTAAAAAAAAAAAAAAAAACAGGGAAAGCAGCATAGAATCAGGTTAATAGTTTCTACAAGAGTGGGTTGAGTTGGAAAGGGCCCCTGAGAACTTCAAAGGTACTAGTAATGTGCTATTTCTTAAACATGAAGACGAGATCAGGGCCTGGTTTTATTCTTGTAACATTACCCCTGTTAGAAATAGTATTTTTAGGGCTGGGGATTTAGCTCAGCGGCATAAGCACCTGCCTTGCAAGCAGGCAGTCGTGAGTTCGATCCCCGGTACCGATAAAAAGGAAAAAGACAAAAAAATAGTATTTTTCAAAGATAAACTGAGGCCAGAACAAGAACCTGGGGCCAAGCAGCAAAACGCCTTGAACTCAAACATGAGCAGGTTAGTTTTCACCTTGTTCTTGCCTTGCTTTCGCCTTTCTTTTCTTGAAAGATGGAGCAGTGCTCCAGGTGTCAAGTTAGATGAAGAAGATACCAGGCGCAGAGGGTGAGCAGGCTCTTCTGCCCTTTTTCAAAAGCCTTGAAGCTGTAGCCTTTGTTAACTAGATGCTTGATTATTAATGCGTATTCTCCTGCTCTGAGTTTACTATACGTCCTCTTGTTTTCTCAGATCTGATCCTCACAATTACCCTTTTGTGGCATAGTTGTTACTCCATTGTATTAGTGGGGAAATTGAGATCCAAAAGTGACTCAAACCTGGGTTGCTTTTTATATATATGGTTATTATGTGCATGTATCAATATGTTTATAACAGAAGTCCCCAACATCTTCTGAATGAAAATCGTTTAATTTCCCAGAAGCCAATAATTAAGGAAATCATTCATCAGGAAGGATGATTTTCAAAAGTGTAGGCAATCATGGGGGTGGCGTGGGGGTTACAGGCAACATAGAGGAGATGATGCTGAAGAGATCTTACTGATCTCATCTGAGCACCTGCTCCATGGTTTTTTCCTCTTCTGAATTTGTATCTAGTGTCTTCTGCTGGGGATGTGGAGAAAGCCAGAGTTCTGAAGGAAGAAGGCAATGAGCTTGTAAAGAAAGGCAACCATAAGAAAGCTATTGAGAAGTACAGTGAAAGCCTCTTGTTTAGTAACCTGGAATCTGCCACATACAGCAACAGGTATCTTCTACAGAGCTGCTGGCTTGGGGGATTTCAGGAAGTTGGATGTTTTGTTCCATAGTTTTCTTGTCAACTGCTGTGGTTTTTCAGTCCCAAGCAGTTAACTCATATGCTCAAAATATGCACTGACATATGTTCAGGTACTGTGAGCCAGGCACTGCCAGTGGTACTGCTTTTTTAAAGGGGTAGAAACTAAATGGCCAAAGGGTAACCTGAGATTTGTTAGTCTCTTCCCCCAAAATTTTTATTAATCACCCCCAAAAAGTATAAGTAAAAACAGTATACTTGCTGTGCAAACATAAACTGTGAAAGGACCCTCTCCATCTCCTGCTCCCCACCCCATGACTTCTGTAAGACCCTCCTGTTAGAAATACTGGCAGTCTTCATCTGAGAATACTGGCCCACAACCCTGAGAGTGAGTTCAAGTCCAGCCTGGACCAGAGTGAGACCCTGTCTCCAATGAACGAATGAATGAATTTAACTCATGGAAATTCCATAGTAATATGGAGTGGTAAGAAGATAATTAGTCTCATGTCAGTTCAGATCTGGTTTTGTTGCCAGAAAAGTTGAACAGGAAATTTTGAAAGTTTGGATTTTTGAGTTTTAGAATTGTGGTTTTACTGACTGATTGGACCAGCGATGCCCAAGTTCTCCAGGCTTATTGGAAGGAGGCTTCTGCCATTCGTTCCATGTGCATATGACATCTGCTGACTCCACTATCTGTGCTCTCTTTGGCCTTTCTGTTGATACTCACCCCCATTAACCCATTCTAGATATTTTTTTTCCACAACTGGGATAGCATTTTGTTTAAATACTGTTCTTTAAGCAAATGTGTCTGTGCCACAATTTTGATTACTGTCATTTTATATCATCATATAGAGCTGATCTTTTCCTCATCTTTCTTAACCATAACATCCATGGCAGTCCTCCCAAATCTAGCTGAGCCTCTGGATCATTTTGGCAAATTCTAAAAACCATGTTATTGGACAGCTTTTGGCTTTGATTGTGTTGCTTATAAATTTAATTTAGAGAAACGAATTACAAAACAACTTTCATACATTGTGGCTGAAATCATACCACATCCTACATGTAGTTTTAATGTTTTATCTCATACATACCTATCTTTATGGAGCAGTGTCTTGTCCCTGACTTAACTGTTTTTTGAGACAAGGTCTGGCTCTATAGTTCAGGCTGGGCTTAAACTCACTATGTAGCCCAAGCTGGCCTCAAACTTGCAGTGATCGTCTTCCCTAAACCTTCTGGGTGATGGGATTACAGGCGAGCACCACCAGGCCCACCACCCTCTGTTACACTTAGTACTGCTGAAACTTGACTATGTAGCACCACTCAGTATCCAGTACCTACAACTTGGCCAGATCCAGAATGAACTTTCTATTTAATAGTTCTTCCAAATTACATCATAGGCCCATTCTACTCAAACAGGCTAAAGATAAAAAAATAAATTAATGAGTATATATGGCATGCTGAGATTTAGGCCACGCCCTTTTTTATATAGGCTGGGGATTAAATCCAGGGTTTCGTGCATGGGTATGACTTTTTAAAAAATGATTAGAGTAAACTTAGCCATATCCCACTGTTCTTGCCACTTTCTGAAATAGTTTTGGAAGTCCTCTTTTGTGTCTTTAGCAGTTGTGCTATTTAGCTGCTTTAGTGTCCTAAATCAGCTTAAAACATTTACCTTTTGTGGTCATTTTGAATGTGGGAGGAACCAGAGGCCCACAATACCAACAGATCTAATGAATGAGGTAGATGAGGCCACATCATGTTATTGCAAAAGCCTGCCTTCCTCGTGGGTAGCACTCGGTTGTCACCATAGTTTTGATCACATCTTATACAGACTATGTTGTCACCATAGTTTTGATCACATCTTATACAGCCAAGAAAAACAACTTCTAGAACTGTCTCAGAAAGTGACAAGAGGGATAAATGTGTTGGGGTGGAGTATGAGAATTAATGGCATTGTGTCTTTTACTATAATAAAAAATTTAATTAAATATTCTTTTGTTATATAATTAAATATATTTTGATCATGTGTGCATGCCTTGCCACTTAACGTAAGGGGGAGAAAATTCCACAGAAATTAAGGAAAATTTGGATAAATTTTGTATTGTGCAATTTAAAAACCTTCTAAAGGTATTCATTATTAGAATAAAGCAGCTAAAAAATTTTTAAAGGTAGTAAAATATAACAAAACAAGACAGAACAAAGCCAATCAAAACAATGCAGTGAAATTGGTACAGAACTTCAGAGCAGAATACCAGGATGACAGTGATAAGTTCCATACTATATCTTACTATCTTCACAATAATTGTCCATTCTATTACATATAGCAAAATCAAATCAAACAGAACATTATAAAACCTATCAAAACAGTATGTTGAATAGAGCAAGACAGTTGATCAGAACACAACAAAACAGTGAAAACAATATTTGCCTTCAAAGAGAAGATAGAAGGAAATCCCCCATATTTGCTATATTGCATACTGTCATCTTCCCAAGAGATGCTCAGACCTCTGGCCTCAGGTCAGCAGCTAAAATTTTTTTTTTTTTTTTTTTTTTGTCTTTTCACTTTTTATGGGTACCGGGGATCGAACTCACGACTGCCTGCTTGCAAGGCAGGTACTTATGCCACTGAGCTAAATCCCCAGCCCCAGCAGCTAAAATTTAAAAGTGGTTCAGTTGCAGTCAGAATCAATGGAACATGTTCTGCAACCAAAATTATGGAAAGTTCACGAACCAAAACTGTTTTCCTTCCATGGGTGGCAGAAATTAAAGTTTGAGACCTAGGTTTGAGATAGCTGTAGGAAAAGAAACTGTGAATTACTGTTATTGAGAGTACCTTTTTTTGGAAAATATTTGGGCAGTAACAAACCCAATTTAAAATATATCTTAGCAGTCCCTTGCCCAAGGGTATTCACTGTAGTATCATTTGTTTGTAGATTGGAAACAAAATACTACTGATGAGGAACTGGTAAAGTAAGTTAGGGACAGCAGACCACATGAACACCGTGTATCCACTGAAAAGTGAGATGATGAGATTGAGTACATCTCATCTGACAGTGGTGCTTTTAGTGACTGTCTCTGGAGAAAAAGGCCACACTTGAATAAAGAGATGTACTTTTTCCCTACTGATGAAGAATATTTTGTTTTATTGGTGTACATAATTTTATCCCAGCATTTTATGAAAAATTTCAAACTACAGGAAGTTTGAAAGAATAGTACTTTGAATACCATATACATTACCAACTATAGCAGTGGTGGCAAATGCACCATCACTGATGGTATAGTATTTGCTTTTTCATTGTTTAGCCGATTGTCAGTCCATCTCATTATTCTTGATACATTTCAAAGTAAATTGCAGACATGTTTATATTTCACCCCTAACATGCCAAGATTGCTTATCACTAACTGGAGTTCAGTGTGTTGTTTTTCAACAGTAGATACTTTTCTACTTTGTCAAGGAGATGGATCTTGGAATGACTTTTTATTTGCTTATAAGTGCTAATGAGGGAGAGTGAAGATGACACAACAAACCACATCAGGATCAGGAGTCATGCAAACCCACCTGGTTTGCACCCCAGAGACCTGGGAGTAGTGGTAGCACCTTGGACAGCTGGAAGTTTTTCACGGTATTTTTCATCTGCAAAAGGGGTAGGATTGTAAGAAGATAGAAAGTCACAGCACAGAGTAGGTGTTTAGCAAATCAGAGATCAGTTCACTGCTGCCTTCTAGCTTTTGGGGCCCACAGAAGTGACTGAACCTCTACAACTGTCTTTCCCATCAGAGCGCTCTGCCATCTGGTCCTGAAGCAGTACAAGGAGGCAGTGAAAGACTGCACTGCAGCGCTCAAACTGGATGGAAAAAATGTGAAGGCGTTTTACAGACGTGCTCAAGCCTATAAGGCACTCAAGGTAAAGGTCTTGCCCAGAGGTGCCACCAGACCTAGAGATTTATACCAGTGCTGGCCTTTGAGCTGGAGTTGTGGGGTGAGGCAGTATCTGCTGTCTTCACAAGCTGTCCCCATCCCAGCTGGCTCTCCCTTATCTAAACTGCTTCCCCACACTTTTTTCCCCTCTTCCATTAGGACTACAAATCCAGCCTTTCGGACCTCAGCAGCCTCCTACAAATTGAGCCCAAGAATGGCCCTGCACAAAAACTGCAGCGGGAAGTTAAACAGAACCTGAAATGAAAACCCAAAAAGGCAACAAGAACCCTGTGCCTGACCTTCCCAGATAAGCCAGGGCCTCCCCTGCATCCACTCCTGAACCCAGCATGCCCTGAGGGAGTGCTGAAGCAAACCCCGCCTCCAACCCCTTGAGGCAGCAGCCTTTCATTCCTGGTGGAACTTCACTTATTCAAATTAAGCCCATTGTTGTCAAGCACAGACATTGTTTTGCCACAAAGCTCCCCACTCAAGCCGAAGTGTGAGGCTGGAGTACTGTCCCATCCCTACTTCTGATTGCTGGAGAGGATCACACACAGGCCCTCCTGAGCAAAGCACTTGGCTTTGTTCCGGCTCCAAGTGTGCTTTGGGCTGAATGCTGCTCTATAGCTTCAGCAGACCCCCTCCTTTCTTTGCAATTAATCTGAACAGACTAAGCCAGAGTGGAGGTGGGGCTAAAAGTCCTGGCCCACCAACACACAGAGCAGCCTGTTGAGCTGGACCTCCAGGACTGCCATCTCCCTGTGGGTGCAGCTGCTGTCCCCACCCTGTCCTTGGCACAGTCTCCTGTGTCTGAGCCCCAGTGCCTTTAATCCTGGCCCTCCTTTAGTGGGAAGACAGAGCCCTATTCCTTGGAGGTTCTTTGACTCTGCTGCTGCCATCTGTGTGGAGATACCCAAAGTATTTCAAAACCCCAGTGGTCTTGGCCACTCCGATGGGGTGAGTCCTCGAGGTCAATGTCGTTCCATCCTGAGCAGGAATCTGCCTTTTTCTCCCAGCAGTGGCCCCTCCAAGCTTCTAGTTCTTTGTAATATGTTAATTTGAAGTAACTGATTTAGTTGAACTGTGTATTTAAACTGTTGCATTAAAAGCTTTCTTTTACCCACATCTGTTGTACATACATTTATACCTTTTCAGCTTTGTGGCTGGAACTTTCAAATGGTAATAAAAGTTACTGCTTCTTGGGTTTTCATCTATTCATTGAGCAAATTTACTTAAATGTCTGTATAGGCCAAGCATTGGTGTGGTACTATGTAGACAACAGTGAATAAATATCACACCTGCTCTCAGAGGGCTGACAGTCGTGATGGGAAGGGGAGAAGTTAATCACATGATTGCTCAAGGGCGAAGCTGCTGGCTGAAGAACTGGAGCAGACATCCAGTATGTCTTAAGCTGCCCATGTGGGGAGGTTACCACGCTGGAGAGTAAATGGTCCTTGAGGTAGAGAGCACTGTTTAATTTTGGTCTTGTTTGTTTAAAGAGAATAAAACCAAACAAAACAGTGAACACAATGTAGAACTTCAAAACAAGATAACAGGAAATCAACAACGGCTAATGCCTCTGGTAATCTTTCAGAGTAGCTGCCTATATCGAAAGAGTTTTGCCCCAGTATAAATTACTGTACTGTTATGGCGGTTGTCTAACCTGGCGGAAGGAAAGTGGGAATGCTCACCACTTCCTGCTTCTTCAGCCCTAATTGCAACTCCCCTTCCTGTTTGCATGCACCAAGAATTCCAATCAGTTCCTCACACGTCATCAATATCGAGAATTCCAATAGGTTCCTCACATGTGATCAATATCTGCCCCATGCGCCACTTCAGAGGTCACATAACCCTCTGCCCCTCTGTATCTGGTTGAAGGAGACAGCCCAGCCGCCATGGATTGTTCCTTTTATGTCAACTCAATAAAACTCTTCATTTTATACTTTTGCTTCTCTATTACACCACAATACTCTTAACATATACCATAAGACATAAAATCAAAGGGCTGGGGATTATAGCTCAGTGGCACAAGTGCCTCCCTAGTAAACATGAGTTCAACCCCCAGTGCCCCCCCCAAAAAAATAGTATAAAATCAAAGCAATGAAAGCAATATAGGGCTTTAAAACAAGATAATTGAAAGGTTTGGCCCAGACAGGACACTGTAGCCAGGAAAGCCACAGCCGGAAGCAGGAAGCCCCATCTTGCCCTGCCCCTAGGAAGTTACCTGTGACGCCATCTTCCCGCCCCTGGGAATTTACATATGGCGCCAAACCTAGGACCAATGGGCTACCTGTGTATCCCTAATGCCCGCCTTAGGTTCCACCCCAAACCGAGGTTATTTACAGGCCCCCACGCCGCGTGTCCGCCGGAGAGATCGCCGGACGCCAGCGGTGGGGTGCCGGTCATCTCTCTCTGTGTTCTCAGGATAAAGGCCGCTTTTTATTTTACATTTCTCATCTTTTGTTAATATTTTTCATCTTTTGGAAATAACTCTATCATTTGTTGCCGTGACTCTATCGGCAGGCAACTGACTGTTGGGCCACATACCCAAAGTCTTCTAGCCGATAGCCAGATAACATCCTGGATTAATCCCGAGCTTTTTCCTCTCCCGAGACGTTCCTGTCGCCAGCCGCCTGCACTCCGCATCGGCCAGACTGATTTCAGGTGAGCACTCCCCGGGAAACTTTTCGCACTGGGCAGCCCCAGTAAAATGTTCTCCCCGTCTGCGTGGGTCTGTGCATTTTCACGTCCTTAGGACCGCCCAGGGCAGAGTTCTTTCTGGGCAAACCTGCGCCCACAAAATCTCTCACGTTCTTTGGGTTCGGATAGCCCAAAGCAGAGATTTTTGGGACCGCCCACACTGAAAGACCCTCACTTCCCTTAAAGCCTTGCGCTTTCACGGGCAAAACTGTTACTGATCCCACGTAGACTCCATTCGTAAATCTCAGTGACGACTGGAGTTTACGGTTTGAAACCGTTCCACCGCGTGGTACCACAAATAAGTGACGACTTTTTTCTGGACCTCCGGTTTTTTTTTCTTGCCTGAATCAGTCATGGGGAACGTATTTTCTAACTCCCAAAAGACGCCTTTACGCTGCCTAATTTCCAATTTACGTACTCTAAAAATTAAAGGTACCATAAAAACTAAACAACTAACTTTTTACTGCCAGGAGGTCTGGCCAACCTACCCGCTTATCGGCAAGCCTTGGCCCAAACAAGGAACATTTGACCCCTGCATTCTCAGGAACTTGTACGATTTTTGTCAAGCTGGCAACAAGTTATTAGAACTCCCTTATGTCCAAGCCTTTCTTATTCTGAGAACACGCCCATCTCTCATTAAGTCTTGTGCTCCAGCTGAGATACTTTTAGCTAAGTCTACTGCGCCGCAAACTTTTCCGTCCTGCTCTCCGTTTTCCCAGCCGCCGCCTGCCTACCACCAAACTCGTTCCCTGCCATTACCTCCTGCCAGACCACTCTCTCCTTCCCCTATGCCTGATTCTCCCAGCAGCTCTAATCCCTCTCCGCCGCAGATACCTCCCACTGTGCGATCGTCTCCCTCTCTGCCTTCCGGGACCCATAACTCTCCCAGCAGCTTTAATCCCTCTGTTAGTGCTTCCTCTCAGTCTCTGACTTCTCCTGAGAATTCTGTATCCCCTACAGCACCGCCCGCCCACCATACTAGGTCTTGGTTGCTATGTCCTTCCAGCAGGTCGCGTGATTGTTCCAGCTTGCGCGGGGAACAGTCGCCATGTTGCAACCCTCTGCCACATGGCATGGCGCCGCCATGTTCCGGAGGGCCACATGGCGACAGGGCGCCGCCATGTTTCGGGCCACGTGACAGGGCGCCGCCATGTTTTGGGTCATGTGACAGGGCGCCGCCATGTTTACAGGGCCTTCACTGTCAACAGGCATCTCCTTGTGGCTCCTCTTGTGAACTACAACAGCCGCCCTGTTGCAGTGCACATGACACTTCATTGTGCTGCCGACAGCAGTCCTCTAGCTGCAAGGCACACAGTGAGATGCCATCTGCCTATGTTTCCCAGGGTGACTGGCAGCAGCTCTGTAGCCGCTCTACAGATGATTGCTCACATGCACCTACCAGAAGGATGGCTGCTCAAGGGCCCTCTGCTCCAGAATCTCCTCAGGCTCTGCTACCTCTTCGGGAGCAAGCTGGCTCCGAGGGGCTTGTTAACATCCATGTGTCTTTTTCCTTTTCTGATCTATCCCAGACTGTCCATAAATTAGGTAGCTTTTCTGTTGACCCACAGAATTATATCAGGCAATTTAAATTTATTACTAATTGTTATGATTTACATTTTAAGGACGTTTATAATGACTCTGGGCCTATAGCTGTGCCAGAGCAGGTCAAGCATACTAACTATAACAAATTTTTAAAACAGGTCCAGGAGGCTAATCAAAACCCAGCTGTGTTCCTAAATTGGCTTTCTAATCTTCACGCCCTGCAAGCAGTTCCAGCTTTGCGCGCTGTGTCGGGCTGCCTCCCAGGCCCTCCCCCATGCGCCGTCCCAGCCCCTCCCTCCCCCATGCGCCGTCCTCGTCACCGCTGCCACCTTACACGTTTCCGGGGGCAGTCTGAGCCCGCCCTTGCGCGCTACATCCCAGCACTTGTCCCACCCACTGGGCGTGCTCTGCCGGAGCGCCGCGAAACAGCAGCTCAGCGGCTCTGCTCAGGCATGCTTTTTTTTTACAATTTGGCTCCGCTCAAAAGATGCTTTTTTATTACAATTCTCAAACCATTTAATCAAGGTTATTGGCCACCTGATAATTTTACCAGCCTTGTTTAACAATCAAAGCCTTCACCAATCTCCTGTTTAACAACTAAGGTTATAAATTTCCTTTTTGCTGGGAACCACTAGCTCTCTTTCAAGACAAGGGTTTTCTTCAAAGTTTTATTTTATTTGTCTTGGTTCATACTACTGCAAATAACAACTTTAAAAGTAAATGTGTTCAGAATTTGACAGTATTAGATCAGTTTTGATAGATTTATTCATAAGATTGCTAAACCTTTACTGCAAAACGTTTCCATTAAAGCCTTGTTTGGCAGACTAAAGCTTTGTTAATTCTACGTGTCACCCTATAAAAAAAAGCGGTGTGCCATCCAGATAAAGCCTGCTCTCTAACCCAAAATGCCAATATTAAATTCCTGCATACTTACTTAATTCTACTATAGTCCAAATCCCAAACAAAAAGGCAAAACTTGACCTTCAAACCTTAGAGAGATCTTAATATGGTTTTTCATATTTTTAATACTTGTGACACTTGGAGTTCTGAGACAGGTAAACCTACACAAGGTGGAGCTGCCTGCCCCCTCCATGGACCATGCTCAAATGCAGCAGAAGATACTGGACAAGAAAATGCCCCATCCTGGCATTCTTTGAGACCTTACTCCAGGGCTACTGGACTGTCCTAGCCACCAGAGAGTGGGTAAGCCATCCTAAGTTCTAGCCCTCATAGGAAATGTCGACACTGCCAGATTCGTCACCGACAGAAAATCGCTGCTGGAGGCTGAGGGGGTTCAGGGCAACAACAGCCCCCTTTAAGGTGTCCGTCTCAGATTCCAAGTCGCACTAAAGTCTCAGGTAAGACATTCTCTATATTTGTGGACATAGAGGCCATATATACAGAGGTCTTCCTGAGTATTCAGGCTGCTATATTAAGTCCTCAATCTCTGGGGGTATTGATGGTCAACCTATGCCATTTACATTACAAACAGGGCCTATTTTGTGCAGGCCCCAGGCCTAAATCTTAAAATGCCTTTTATACAGGCTGACTTAGACACACTGAGGCCTCAACACCTGTTGTTGGTAGACCCTTCCTCAGTGATATAGACCACCCCCTTCCTATCTTATTCACCAATTTCTCAGGTAACCTTGGTCAAGACTGACAGATACATTTTGTCTTCTCACTTGGTTTATACCTTTTCAGGATGCATAAGAGCCTTTCTCATACTTGCTAAAGTTCTGTTACAGCAAATCATTCCAAGGACTACAACCAGGTTACAGTGACCCATGCCTAAATCAAAGTTGCTGGACTCCCATCCTGGTTTCACATCACTCAGGCTAAGAGATGCCCTCCCAGCCCTAAATCTGATCATTCTGAGTGGTCATCTCATCTTCTGTCGCCTACCCGTCTCCGTCTCACAAAGGCTGCGCAGCCACAGTTAACAGGCTAAGTCATGTTTTGTTATCCACTT